GTTCAATCCCCAGTACCAAAAAAAAGAAAATATATGAGAAAAGGAAAAAATGGAAACAAAGTCTTTGTAAACAGGGAAGAGTGGAGGGGGGTGAAGGGAGGGTAGAGGAATGGGGGAAAATAAGAACCAAGATACATCATGTAAAGGTACAAGATCCCAACAATGAATATAACTGTATTGTATACCTAAAATGTACCAATAAACTTAATGGGGAAAAAACCAACAACAGCAACAAAAAAAAAACTTGGACATTTGATCTAAGGGGGCTTCCATTGCCATCCACTCATTGGCTCTCTAGCATTTCCTGCAGGTGTGGCTGACCATCCACTGTGGCCTGAATAATGCCAATGAGCTCTGCAGGGGATAAGCTGTTGGTGGACTACAGGCTGGACCTAGATGTGTCAGGTAGACTCAGTCTCTGTGGTCCAGCCATTCAGCTTCAGGATGCGGAACTCAATGATTTCCCCCACACACTCTGACTCCAACTGACATGGCCCCTACTGACTTTTAAGTACAATATTCTTACTATTCATGGTTTTTGTTTTTTTGAGAAAAGGTCTTGCTTTATAATTCAAGCTGGCCTTGAACTCACTATATAGCCCAGGCTGGCCTTGAACTCTCAGCGGTCCTCCTGTCTTCAGCCTCTAGATTGCTGGGGTTACAGGCATGTGGCACCACACCTTGCTCTTATTATACTTGTTGAGAGTGATAAACAGAATTGTGGGCTGGGATACACCTCAATGGTATGCTCCTTGCCTAGTATGCACAAGGTCTTGGGTTTGATCCCAATGTAACAATTTTATTCAGTGGTTTTATCATTAGCAATAATATTATATTGTATTCTTAGTAGTAGTCTTATGAATAACATATGGTAAAGGAAATCAGTATATAACTTAATGCTTTAGAAGCTAAAGCTTTATTTAAAAGAGATCTGCATTTACAGTTAGATCAAAAAGGCCTTTTAATATTACATTGAAATTGAGTATGTCAATATGAACTCATGATTCAACAAAAAGTCTCTTAGTTATATCTACTGAAAGAATCTAGAAACAATGACTCCCTAGTAGCAATAAGCGTATCTGGCACCTAGATCTTAGTTTCTAACTACCATTCTCCACGAAAACGAACCAAGACCTCTGAGAATAAACAATTACACGTTGTGCAGTAAGATAAGAAATAAAAATTATGAGTTGGAAAAGAAGGAAAAAGCTGTTATTTGTAGAAAAGAAGGAAAATGCTTTTATAGAAAGTACAATTATCTACATAGAAAAATCCAGGAAAGCAACAAATTAATAGGACTAATAAGAATTCACCAATTACTAGATATGAAATAGGCATATAAAAATGAAAATGATCGGCAATTATTATAAAGTTTACCTTTTCTTTGGTGGATATTTTTTTTCCTGGTACTAGGGATTGAGCCCAGGGCATTTGCATTGAGCTACACCCTTAGCCCTTCTTTATTTATTTTGAGAGGAGGTTTTGATAAGTTGCCCAGGCTGAGCTCAAAATTACAATCCTCCTGCCTTAGCCTCTCAAAATGCTGAGATTATAGGGATCTACCATTAACCCCCCATTATAAAGTTTATATTTTTAAGTTAAAGAAATAGAAAATATCTTAGGAATAAATCTGACAGAATTGCTGTATCTATTTTAGAGAACAAGATGGCATTACCTAATGAAGTGGTAGTGTCCTAGTATTCAGGATTCTACTAGTGGTTGTACAGAAGACCCAGTTTTGGGCCGGGGATTTAGCTCAGTGGTTTCGCTGCCTGCTGCGCAAGCACAAGGACCCGAGTTGGATCCCCAGTACCAAAAAATAAAAATAAATTTAAAAAAGAGAAGACCCAGTTTTTAAAAATTGTGTATCTATAGTGTTCTAAATATTATTTTAGAAACTAATGATTCAGCGGCAAAGAAGCATAACATTTAGTACAGCATTGTTACCAAAAAGCCACACATTAGAAACAATGTTAATGTCCATCAACAAGAGAAAGAATAAGTTAAATATATCATACAATGGAAATACTGTGTCACTTCAAATAAATGAATAAGAGATGTATTTCTCAACATGGAAAAGGCCAGGCATAGTGGCACATACCTGAAATCCCAGTATTCAGGAGGCTGAGGCAGGAGGATTGCTGTGAGTTTGAGACCTGAACTACATAGCGAGAACTTGTCTCAAAAAAAAAAATCAACCTGGAAAAAATTCTACAAATGCTGTGTGATAAAAGCAAATTGAAAATAAACGTATGATAAGATGATACTTATAAAATAACAGCATAGATTATAGATACACAATGATCTTAAAAATGCAAGCATGTATTGAAGTTAACACCAAATTTAGGATGGAGATCTCTAGAGAGAGAAGGGATATTTTATTAAACTGGGTGTCGCCTAGTATATGTTGTGGTTTTTTTTAACAGTGGCAAAGTTTCACATTTACCAAAGGTAGGAAAAAAGCAGCTCTGCAGAGTAAGTTTGGTATTAAAAGTAGGAAAAAAGAAAAATTAAAAACCAAAACACCTTATGGTGTAGGGTAGGCTACCGTGAAGAGACAAGATAGTGTGTTTATTGTGTTTTGTATGCCTGAAGTAGTTAATAACAATTCAGATTATCTCTGTAAATTCTTTGTAGAGTTATTATAAAGTGATGTAAAAATGTTTTGAGAAATGCTATATAAGATTCTAAGTTGTTTTAGTTGGTGTTTCATTAAACATGCCACCCTTTCTTTCCTACAGCATGCTTAAAGTGAGGAAATGATGCTAAATTAATACCTGGTACCTAAATTAATTCTTTTTTATATGAAATCTAGTACATACCTTCTGTTTCTAAAAATGTTCTGCCTAAGTTTTGAAATTAATTTTTCATGTGCTGTTATCATTCATCTATTTTTATTTCCAGTGAGATAGTCGTATGTACTGTCACTAACACGGAAGAATAATATTAAAAGTGAAGTGTCATTTTTGTTATTCTCTGTAATACACTTCAACTACCTAGTGACCTACTGATGTTACAATTAAACGATCCTGTCATCTTTTCCAGATAAATGCAGTGCGTGCAATAGTTCCCAACAAGAGCAACAATGAAATCATCCTGGTTCTGCAGCACTTTGATAATTGTGTGGACAGAACAGTACAAGCATTCATGGAAGGTAATCTTAGCACTTATTTTGTTTTGTTTTGTTTTTGTTAAGAGGAAAAATTTATTGAGAGGAGGAAAGCTTCTGTCTAAGAGAGACAGAAGAGGGACCGGAAAGTAGGTTGCCCGCTCACCCAACTTCTCAAAGGTGTTTTGTGAGACAAAGCTCTTAGCTCGTTTTTAATAAATTTGTTTGTTCAATAGAAGTTACTTTGGCCTTTTAGAACGCTCAGTAGTGCAGCGTTTCACAGATGATATAGCAGACCCTATGATAAATATCATACCCTGACATTTTGTTAATGTAAGATACCACTTTTGGCCTGGAAGCAATTCATTCATAAGTTGTGTGATATCAGGAATAAGAAACAAACTAAGAAAACACAAACTAAGAATTTAACACAAAATATTCTCTACTGGTATTTAAGAAGAAATCATGTGTCCAATGTAATTGGAGTTGAGTTGAATAAAAATTTAAGTGACTCTTCATAACAAAGGAGTGATTTAGTGCCCCAGCAACAGATGACAAATTTAAGAACTCAACATTCTCTTGCAAACTGTACTGTCATTCAGTTTGGCTCTGGCAAGTGACTCAAAACGTGTTTCACTGTATGTTCATATAGAAGAATGATAGGCTTACCCAAGCTTCACATTCATAGAGCTGAGGAGTGTCATACAGATCTCTTTCCAAATAATTTGTTTGAGAAAAAGTTACTTGAAGCTATTTTATCATTGAACAGTAATGTCAAGTTAGATCTCCATTTTCAGTTTTCTGAATTTGCAAATGCAGGATAAGCAGGTCTGAATACTGTAAGGTTTTTCTTCACTTTTATCTGTTTTCTTTATAATGTTATGAGTTTGGGCCTGGGATTTAGCTCAGAGGTCCTGCCGTCTGCCTCGCAAGCGCAAGGTCCAGAGTTTGATAACCAGTACCAAAAAAAAATAATAATAATAATGTTATGGGTTTGGTGGAGTATACAGCTATCTCCAAATCAGTGTAGCCGAGGTGGTGTAGAACCTGGACGGAAGTGGATGGCACACTTGGGCAGAAGCCAGTCATCTTTGTATTTGGACTACAGTGTAAAGAATCTTCAAAATGGCCAGACTACATTAGTCTCTTCTTGGAAGAAGTCACTGGAGATATTACATGGAGAAAGGGATTTAAATAGGCAAGTATTCTGAAAGGAAAGCATGATGTGATTATCTCATCACATTACTTCAGAGACATGATCTTTAAATTTTCTCATTAGGAACTTTGGAAATTCTCAGGTATTTATAAAAAGCAGGGACATTAATTCCTGCTTGACGTGTAGGAGAGAAAATCTGTAATTGGTTTCTCTTACAGGTAGTGCCAGTGAAGTACTCAAAGAATGGACAGTAACAGGCAAGAAAAAGGTAAAAATAAATTAAATTTAAGAGCATGATATTGATGTTCATATTAGTTTAAAAATGTAGGCTCCACAAAAAATATTTGAAAGAAAATGTTTACGTAAATATCTTCAGTTCATCTGGCTAAAACATCTTTGTCATTAAAATGCAGCTAGTACTGAGCACCACCCAGTTTCTTCCCTGTGATTGAAGGCAGGAAACAGTAACTTTTTGCTGAGAGGATACTAGATAGGGGTTGAAATAAGAGAGCATGTGGAGGAATGCAGAGCTGCTTCAGAGAAACTCATCAGTTTTCAACAGTATTCACATCATCCATCAGCTAAAACACTCAGATTTTTGGGTTAGACAACGGTGTTATGATCTCTCTCTCTCTCTCTTATTTTATTGATACCAGGGATAGAATTTGGGACCTTGCGCCTGCGAAGCAGGCAGCGAAACCACTGAGCTAAATCCCTGGCCCATGATCTCTAATATTAACGAACTTTGACTTAAAGCCTAAAGAGGGGTTTTGCTACTAGCGCTATTAAGTGCTTTTGCAGAGGGGTCTGCTGCTGCAGTTAAGGGAAAGGCAGTTGAGTTGGACAGGGTCAAAGCTAGATTTCTATCTTGTTCCACTGTATAATGGCTTTATGACCTGCAGTATTGTTTAACCTTGGTGTTCCTTGGTTTACTCATCTCTAAAATTGAAAAAGTACTTAATATAATGCCTAACATATAATTCTTGGTCTTTTCTCTTTATCCACTTAAAACCAAGATATAGGCCAGGTGTGGTGGCACACTCCTGTAATCCCAGCACTCAAGAGGCTGAGGTGGGATGATCGCTGCAACTTCAAGGCCAACCTGGGCTACATCTAGCCTGAACTACTTAGTGAGACCCTGTCTCAAAAAAAACAAAAAAATTCAAGATGTTTCCCCAAAGGATACTAGCTAGTTTTAGTATTCTTCCCACCGCTCTGTATCCTAAATGTAGGCCCTTTAGGAAAAGCTTAAAGTGTGGATTTTAATCAGTATCTCTATGAAACCTATTTGGGGTATTATTTTCCTGCATTAGTTTAGTGCTGGACTCCTGAAATGCTTTCTTTCTTTTTTTTTTTTTTTCTTTTTTTTGGTACCGGGGATCAAGAAACCACTGAGCTAAATCCCCGGCCCGTGAAATGCTTTCTTGATGACTCAAAATCACTTCATAAGCAGTACTGTCAGGGCTTCATCAAGCCAGGCTTGGCCTTAGGTAACCCTTCAGAATTTTTCAAGAGGTACCCAATACTCTGAGCTTGTCCTGAAGCTGTCTGTACCCGTAACTTTGCGTGTTTCTTTAATTTACCACTGCTTTCAATAAACATGGTTGGCTGTGAGTGTTCTAGAAAACATCACTGTTTTAATTTATAGGCCCAGGATGATAAATTATTAGTGCCAGTTCACATGGGAGAAAATATTTAAGAGCAAGATGAGAACTTTGTAGAAGAGATTGTATTTCAAGTTCACTAGTGTACTCCTGCTAGATAGAATCACTGAAAAAATTTGGGGAGGGGAATTGATTCAGTTACACCTGTCTAGCCTTAGGAATACAATTAAGTATTGCCTATAGAGCTGTGAATTGACCAAACAAAAGCTTGTTTGTTTGCTTTAATTTTATTGGTTTTTTGCTGGGCATGGTGGAATACACCTATAAATCCAGCACTTAGGAGGTTGAGGCAGGAGAATCACCATGAGTTCAAGGCCAGCCTGGGCTACATAGTGGGTTCAAGGCCAGCCTGAATTGCATAGCAAGACCCTGTCTCAAGAACAAAACAAAACAAAAAAAAATTTTTTTTTTACTATTTTCATAGGTAATATATTCATGCGGCTCAAAATTCACAGGTACAAATATTAATACACTGAAACATCTTCATCTTATCCCTATTCTTCAGCTATTTGATTCCCTACCCCAAAGGCAAACAGTGTTACAAATTTTTTATGGGTCTTCCAGGATATTTTATGCATATAAGCATATTGTTTTCGGATGTATTATATCGAGCTTATTTCATATTTTGATATAAAGTCTAATGAATTTTTTTGTTATGGACATAATCATCCTGCTATCTGGATGTACCATAACTTATTTAACCAGTTCCCCATTGGTCAAACCTTGGGTTGTTTCTAATCCTTTGCTTTTAATAACAATACTGCAATAAATAACCTGATATAAAAAGAAAACTGATATATAATTTTGAACATGTTAGCCTCACCTAGGATAAATTCTTAGAAGTAAAATTGCTGGCCAAAACGTATGTGCCTTTATAATTTTGATAATTATTACTAGATTGCCACCCCTGCTGGTATATGAAAATTCTCTGTATCCTCAACTCTACAGTGCTGTTATACTTTATTTTTGCTAATCTAATAGATGAAAAATGATATTGCAGTATAGTTTTAATATGTATGTCTCTTAGGGGTTATGCTTCATTTCATATGTTTACACCCTATATCATTTCTATTGTTACTTGGCTTTTTTTTTTAGTACCAGGGCATTGAACTCAGGACCTCGAGCTTGCCAGGCAAGCCAATTTCTTGGCTTTTTGTTAGAGCTCTTTTATTTCAATACAAGTTACATGTTTTTTCCACATTTTTTTCCCCACATTTTGTAATTTATCTTTCCATTTTGCTTAAGGTAGGCTTTTGCCATGAGGAAGTGTAGTATATTTAATTATATTATGAGCTTATCCAAAGGGTTTTACGTAGTAAAATTTTATTTTAGGTAATGGATCAACATATATAAAAATATATTCAATTTCTGGAAAGAATATATGAGAAATTAGTAGCATTGATTGCCTTTTGGTAGCCAGAGTTGCTTAACTCTTTGGATTGTGTTGTGGGAGGGTCTGCTTTTTCTTTTTCTTCTTTTCAACTTTAGAACAAAAAGAAGAAAAGCAAACCAAAACCTGGAGCAGAAACAAGAAACAGTGTCCCAGATTCCAGTAAATCTGTTTCCATTCGAGAGGAGCAGTCTGCACCTTCCTCAGAGAAAGGTGGCGTTAATGGTTATCACGTCAATGGTGTCATCAATGATGCTGAGTCTGTGGACTCACTGAGTGAAGGTTTGGAAACACTTTCAATGGAGGCCAGAGAATCAGAAGATCCTGAGTTGTCTGCACCAAATACACTGGATAGAACAGGTAAATTTATTAGCAGGTTTTTCAAAAGTTACATTCAGGCGGAGTGGGGATTTAGCTCAGTGGTATGCCTTCCTTGCAAGGGCAAGGTCCTGAGTTCAAGCCTTGGTACCAAAAAAAAAAAAAAAATTACATTCAGGTGAGAAATAAAAACACCTCCTGTTTGAGAAAGCAATCAGTAAATTAAATGTAATTGGTCTTTTACTAGTTTTTGTTATCTTTTGTGTAGAAGAGTAGCAGGTTATGCTTATCAAAGGCCTAGAAAAATACAGTTCTTCTCATCTCATATTTCAGCTCCAATCATATGAAAAAATTTCTAACCTAATAGCAGAGTAGCTTGTAGAGAAAGCAGACAAAGACTATCTTTTCTACTTATTTAGGAAAATGATGAAGATTTTTGTTTTCTAGTCAAGAGTTAAGATCCATAATTGTTGTATATTCACATATCTAGTACGTTTTGTCAGCCATTTTGTTGAGTGTTGGGAAAATATTGGAAATCTCTTTTTGAAAATTACTTACTTGCTAATCCAACTTCCCCTGCCTTGCAGTTCCTAGCTTTATAAATGTAGTGTCAATGTAAATTCTGCTGTGCTTTTTAGAATTTCTTTTACTGATTCACACACACACACACCCTAGAGGAAAAAATATTGCACCTACACAGACCCCAACGGTAGCCAATGGCTTTCATGGTTTTTTTTTTTCTGGGCTAACCTTCTCTTTTTTTTTTTTTGTTACCGGGAATCAAACTGGGGACCTTGCACCTGCAAGGCAGGGAGTGGCACCACTGAGCTAAATCCCCTGGCCCTCCCTAAAGCTTTTAAAATTTTTCCTTCCCTGAGACAATATAAAATTCTTTTTCTTCAATGTAATTTACTGAAGTTGGTGATATTGACTCTCCAGCTATGGAGCTGCAGAGTGTTACTTCTTGTCTTAACTAGGTTGGCTACAGCTGCTTTTCTTCATCCTGAGTGCCTCTTAGGATTAAGCCAGAAGCTGCTGATAATCACACCCAGCTGATTCTGATCTTTGTTCTATTTTGTCAATTGATTTTGCTCACAAACTTTTAAGAGTCATGGATTTGCCTAAAATGTTTTTACCTGCTTGCTTTGCATACTTAAGACTGCTTGACTGACTTAATCCTACATTATGCTCTAAAACTCTGGACTTTTTCTTGGACAGGATCTGTGCTGGAGAATGGTGTCTCTGACTTTGAGCCCAAGTCTTTGATTACCTACTCTATTCGGAATGTTCAGCACTGCAAGAAGGCTGCCAAATCTCTGTCAAGATCCACTGCGGGACCTCACTTTTCAAATCTGGGAATGGAGGATGTTCCACTATCATCTACCAATAAAAAACTAGGTAATGCAAGGTCCCACCTATGAGAGAATGAAAAAATCTGGTTTTGGCTAGCCCATAGATGAGGTTTCAGAAGCGCACCAAGTAATACTTTTCCTATTTTCCAGACTGTAACTCTGCAACACTTTCTGCCTCCATGTATGCAGCTGGAGTTTAAATGTGGTTCAAGGGGCTGGGGATTTAGCTCAGTGGTTTTGAGGTCTGCTTCGCAAGCGCGAGGTCCCAAGTTCGATCCCCGGTACCAAATAAATAAGTAAATAAAATGTTGTTCAGATGTTATACCATCTTTTTAGAAGAACAGGGACCTTCTATGTGATTTATAGACAAACTTAACTGCCAGGATGACTTAGCTAATATTAACCTGTTTTCTTTGCTTTATTGCAACATTTTTCTGCTATTTCCTTTTTTTTTTTTGGTACCATGGATCAAAATATTTCCTTCATTTTTATCTCCTGGATTACTCAACAAGTCAAAGATCTTCATATCTGACATGACACTCCAAAGAAATATTTTCACTACACTTTGTCACTTCATGTTCTTAGTGATATCTGACTGACTCTTTTAACAAGATCATTTTCTCTTACGTAGTTAGCATCAACTAGTGGTCACTCTCTGCTTATTTTTAACTATTGTAATCATTTAAGTAATAATAATAATTAGAAGTAATAGCCCTTCTGAGTTTTACACATTGAAGCATGGTGGTCCACTAAAGTAAACAAAATGAAACAGAAATGTAAAGGACACTTGTAACCTGTAGCTCCTTACTGAATTAGTTATGCCACATGAGCTAAATTGTAATTAGTGAAATTCCCCTTTTTCATCTTTATAATAGTCCTTAGCTTGTGCAGAATAGCAAGTCTGAGACTATCCATGCAAGCAAAAATAAGATATATAGGCACAAGGCTTTAAAGGTTTTTGGTACATTCCAAATGAAATCAAGTGGGAATGAAGAAAAATTTAAAAGATAAAGCTGGGCATGATGTCGTGAGCATTAGTCCCAGCTGCTTGAAAGATTGAAGCAGGAATATTGCTTGACCCCAGGAGTTTGGGGCCAGCCTGGGGAATACAGTGAGGCCCCACCTCTAAAAATTTATTACTTAAGTTGAAAATATATATCGTAGCACATTTATAAACTTTTTAGATTCATGATTCCAACAGTCAGCTTAATGTAACTTTGGCACTGGTGAATAGAAAAGTTAGAATTCTCAGAAACTGCTTAAAATAAGTTCGGTGGGTAAATATATTTCCTCTTTTTCTACAAAGCTAGCTTCCCCACATACAGTGTTTCAAGTGCATAATAGAAAGACAACTTTTTAATTTTATAATGTCCACATAGTGAATTACTCTGTGAAATCCTGTCATTTGGTACCTATTTAGGGTTTTTTCTCTGTTTTATTTTGAATAGTTTCTAAAATTGCTGTATTCATATTCATTACATTTTTTTTAAACAGTTTCTAGTCTGCTGTTAATTCTATCCAGTTTATTTTTTATCAGACATTTCTTTTTCTTTTTTTTTTTTTTGGTACTGGGGATTGAACTCAGGGCCATGTGCTTGTAAGCCAAGTGCAGCACCACTGAGCTAAATTCCTGGCCCATAGACATTGTTTTTTAATCTCTAGATATTTATTCAGTTGAGATTTTTTAAAAATACCATTCCTGATTCTGTCTAACATGTTTCTGTTTTCCGCTGAATATGATATCTGATTATTAAGAGCTGTTTAATATCTTTTTCTTCTTCCATCATCTTGTCATTTTTGCATCTGTTTCTATTGACTTTTTCTCCTCATTATGGGCCATGTTTTCTGCCTTATTTGTCTGTTTTTCACTTTGAGACAAGGTCTCACTATGTACTTTAGGCTGGCCTTTGCAGAGAGCTATCCTCCTGCCTCAGCCTCCCAAATGCTGGGATTACAGGTGTGAGCCACCATGCCTGACATTTGTTTCTGTTTTTTTAGGGAGGAAGGTACTACCTTTTGTCCATTGCCTGAAAACCAGTGTTTCGTGTATCTTACTTGTGTGTAAGATAGGAGGATAAAGCCTACTCTTGTTACTTCATCTTGACCAAGATAGGTTTTTATTTTTGTCTTCTAGGGGTTGAACATAGGGCTTTCACATTCAGCCACATCTCCAGCCCTTTTTCTGGTTTTTTTTGAGAAAGGATTTCATTAGTTGTTATGTTTACTAGACTAGGCTCAGACTTGAGATTCTTCTACTGTACAGCCTCCCAGAGTACTGTGATTATAGGCATGCACCACCACACCTGGCTTAGGATACTTTTATTTTTATTTCCTTTGGTACTAGGAATGGAACTCAGGACCTTGCACTTGCCAGGCAGCCGCGGTGACACTGAGCTAAGACCCTGGCCCACTTTTTTTTTAATCTATGAAAAATAAGGGTTTTTTGTTGGGGAGGGAGATCGTTTAGGACACATTCTTAGACCACATGTTATTTGTCTCATATGTTCAGACCTAACTTTTACTTACATATGTTCCTTTATTTAATAATCTTTGGGTTTGCCTTCCCAGGTTCCAATATTGAAAAATCTGTAAAAGACCTTCAACGCTGCACAGTATCTCTTGCACGGTATCGAGTTGTAGTTAAAGAAGAGATGGATGCGTCCATTAAGAAAATGAAGCAAGCTTTTGCTGAATTGCAGAGTTGGTAAGTTAAGTTGCATTTGATATCATTAACATAAAATGACCATTTATAAAGATGGTTAGCCATTCACCAGACTCTTTAATTTCTAACTCCTAACTATTCTACGTACTGGGGAGAGAATTTAAAATCCTGTGATACATTTGTCATTCTGCTTAATTCTCCTTTTGGTCACAGTGTGGTAATGAGTTGTAAAGAGAACTCATATCACTCTAGAAATGGGCCTGAGGTTAGTATTGTTTGGAAAGGGGCAAATAATTGTAGAGTACATTGCATGCACTTACCTCAGGTTTTTAAACCAAGAGTGTAACAAATGACATGATGTCTGAACAAAAATTATAAAATAGAGAAGACCTCTTTGTTTTATTAACTCCTTTTGTCCTTAATAAACTTCACCTCAGTGATCTCTTCTGTGCCTTATTACTAATCATTGATTTGTTTTAACTGCTTTTTTCAAACTGTGTTCTTTAGAATACTCATTTCTCTAGATATATTAATATGTATTTTGTAGGGGAAACGAGTTTAGTAGTTAAAAAGGTTGTTTGAAAATACTCTTAAAAAAAATTTTTACTACTAGATTTCTCAGTGCCGTGTGTGTGTGTGTGTGTGTGTGTGTGTGTGCCCACGCGTGCACCCATGAATGTCTTGAATGCTGATGTGCATTGTGATTACAACAGAAATACCATGCTATTTCTCAAATGTATTTGATTGTAGAATCTTTTAGGGGGGAGAAATGCATGCTAATGTTTTCTAGGACACCAAAGCTGTTTTAAATTAACTATTAAGGTTTTATATATATATATAAGACACAGTTCCTTTCTGGGGAATATTTGCATTTTATAAGGGATTTGTTTTTGAAAATGGCAGAGACTTTAGGACCAAATTAATCATAATGACAGGAAGACAAGCAACTAGGTTGACTTAAGTATTTTAGGATTGTCCATTCTATTTATCTGTGAGAACTGCCTACATCTGAAATACGAGAGGAAGTGTTTAAAAATAGGGAGACCTGTTCATCCTCCCAACTACCCATCCATTTTCTTGCTGCTTGTCTGTGGACTTGCTTAGATCATGTCCAGCCGTGTTTCTGTTCACAAGCTTAGTCTAGGTACTGTGTGCAAACAAGAAGGCCAGACAGAGGAAGTGTTCAGGTCATCTCTGTTTTCCTGGTCTCTGGAATTGGAGGAGTGAAGTCATGAAGATGAAATAACACCTCCAGAAAGTTAAATCAGCATAACCAAAAAGTACATTTTAGAGTAGATAATGCATCTAGTAGTTTACGTGTCTTGTCCTGAACCCTGCATTTTACCTTTCCAATTTTTTTTTTTTGGTACTGGGGATCAAACTCTCAGGACCTTGCGTTTTCGAGGCAGGTGGTGGAACTACTGAGCTAAATTGCCAGCCCCTCATTTTTCTGATTTTATAGCTATGTACTTAATGAATGTTTTATTTTCTGTATTTGGGGGCCGGGTGGCGAATGTTGAGATAGGATCTTGCTTTGTAGTGCAGGCTGGCCTTGAACTCACTATGTAGCCCAGACTGGCCTCGAGCTCAAGGCAATCCTCCTGCCTCAGAGTGCTGGGATTACCATGCCCTGTGTGGACTGGATTCTTGTATCGGATACCGTTGCCATATCTGGAAAATAAAAAGCTAAGTATAGGTTATCACACCTTTGCCTTGATAGGCCTTTGAGCCCCACAATTGTTCAGCTTAATGATTTCTTAGCCACAGGATCCAGTTCAGAATAAGCCTGAACCAGGAAACAGTTCCGGAAGAGATCTGTGAGTTCTTTCTGACTTGGAACCCAGCCAGGAGGAACCTCCTTCAATAAGTGACAAATGAAATGGTTTCCTGCCTGGGAACTGTGTATTTAGTATTGATTAGCAGGTGTAACAACAGGGTCAATTTAACTTGAGGAGAGACTACCTGCACTTGGTGTAATGCCCTTTTCTCTGGCTGACTGGGTTTTTTTAACTACCTTATTTCAGCGTTCCTTGTAGTTGCTACTTCAAGACATAACTGACAAGTGAACTAACTCTGTTTGGCACTAAACCAGAGCTTGGAGCTAATGTCACTTAGAAAGCCATTTTTTTGTGGTCTTTACAGTATGAAAGAAAAGCAGATACTTCTAACAGATGGGAAACAATAGGATTATATTACTCCTGGCAGGGCACTTGGGAAATTATGTGGGTGACTCCTTTTATTTTGATGCCAAATCTAAGCGGACCTATATCTGATGGAAGGCATATTTAGAAGCTTTCTAATGTATGAACTAAAACTCTATTCTTATTGATGACTTAGTAAATAATCATCTCTAGACCTAAGTTTTTTGTTGATAATACTTGTGTGCTTTACAATCTTGGAGCTATTAGTTGACTTAAATTTAAAGCTGTAGGGCCAGGGATTTAGCTCAGTGGTTCTGCTGCCTGCCTTGCAAGTGCAAGGTCCTGAGTTCGATCCCTGGTACCAAAAAAAAGAAAAAAAAGACTGTAAAGGAGATGAGATATGGAGTAGAATATGAAGCTATGAATACTGTGTAGTTCAGGCTGGCCTTGAACTTGTAGTGATCCTCCTGCTTCAGCCTCCCAAGTGCTGGGATTCTAGGTGTGTGCCACCAAGCAGGACTGCTTTTAATGTTAAACACTCAGTAGTCTTACCAAAGGCTTTCAATTTCATAAGTTTAGAGGCTATATAGAGATGTTGAAAACTCAGATCATTTTAGCAACCAAAGTATTCCCCAAAAATATCTAAAAAGCATAGAAATAAAAGACTATGATAGGGCTGGGGATTTAGCTCAGTGGTTCCGGTGCCTGCCTCACAAGCGCAAGGTCCCAAGTTCGATCCTCGTTACCAAAAAAAACACACAACAGACTATGATAAAGGGGAGGGGATTTAGTTCAGTGGCACCACCCCTGCCTCACAAGCACAAGGTCCTGAGTTCAATCCCCAGTACCAGGAAAAAAAAAATATGATAAAGCATTATCAAAAATGTACATAATGGGCTGGGGATTTACCTCAGTGGTTTTGCCGCCTGATGCGTAAGCGCAAGGACCTGAGTTCAATCCCCGGTACCAAAAAAAAAAAAAAAATGTACATAATGCTGTAGTTCCAAATTATTCAGTTTTTGAATGTTTAGTACCTTGGTGATCTTTTTTTTTTGGTACTGGGGTTTGAACTCAGGACCTTGCACTTTTGAGGCAGCCGGCAGCACCACTGAGCTACATCCCCGACCCCCCCTATAATCTTATTTCTATTAACTTGCCTCCATAATTCTTGAGGTCCTTTAATTTAAAAATTTTTTTTTTTTTTTTTTTTTTTGGTACCGGGGATCGAACTTGGGATCTTGCACTTGCAAGGCAGGCGCCAGAACCACTGAGCTAAATCCCCGGCCCCTTTAATTTAAAATTTAACCCTTAAATAAATAAAATGTAACTTTCAGCCATGTGTGAAAATAATATGAAGAAAACTGAACATATTATCTGATTTGTTTGTCTTGGTTTCTTTCTTATAAAGTATTTTTTATTCTGTCACACCAAGGGATTTGAGTCTTAAGTGGTTTACCTAACATGACATCTTATGTTGCAGACACAATATTTGAACCTATGTGTTTTGGTTTTTTGAGACAGGGTCTTGCTGTGCAGCCCAGGCTGGCCTTGAACTCACAGTGATCCTCCTGCCTCAGCCTCCTGAGTGCTGAGAATACAGGCGTGTGCCACCACGCAGTAACTGATGGTCTTATCTTGTACCTCCTTGAAGGTTCACTCTGCTTACTGAAGGTTGGAAAGGCTTGAGACAGTTGGTCAATGTCACATGTTATTTCTTCCTTAGCTGAAAGGCTGTATAATGGAGAAACCCCACTGTGAGAGGAAAGAAACTTAGTCATTAGGAAACAGGGCTAGATGAGGGGTGGGCCTGTGAAAGTATTTTTTAAGTTCAATAAAATTAAAACTATAAGAATACTCTGTCCAGATATCCCCCATCCCCTTTTTGGGGCTGAAACTCAGGGCCTTATACATGCTAGGCAAGTACTCCATTGAGCTGCATTTCTAGCCCATTTTAGTTTTGTTTGTTTATTTGTTTTTGAGACAAGGTCTCGCTGTGTAGTTCAGGCTGGCCTTAAACTCACTGTGTAAGCCAGGCTGGCGTCAAACTCACAGTGATCTCCTGCCTCAGCCTCCCAAGTATTAGAATTACAGGTGTGTGCCACCACACCTGGCTCCAGCATTTTTATTTATTTATTTTGGTACCAGTGATTGAACTTGGGGAACCTGGTGCTTTAGAGGCCGGTGGTG